GGATCGCAACCCTCAGTGTTGCGCCCGTACCGGACCGGGACCGGCAACGGGATTGCAACCCTCGGTGCTGCGCCCGCCCCTCGCTCAGCCAGTGAGCGGGGACCAGTCTGTATGTGGGATCTGAACCCTCGGCGGGAGCGCCGCCACACTCCCAAGCGGCGCACTGTAGCAGTGCGCCACCGGGCCGGCCAAATTTGCTTTTCTTTCATTCTAAGTGAATGAAAGAAACATTTCATATGTTTAATGATTTGGCTTTTTTTTTCTTTATTCTTTATTCTTTTTTTTTTTTTTTGGTGGCTGTCAGTATGGGGATCTGAGCTCTTGACCTTGATGTTGTAACACTGTGTTCTAACCAACTTAGTTAACTTTCTTAACTTCCTGTCTGATGTGTAGCTGGTAATACTAGTTACCTCACAGAGTTATTTTACAGTATGTGCCCAATAAGAGGTTATCGTTAAAGTAAAAGGATCATTTACAATTTCCTCTGTGTGTGTGTGTGTGTGTGTGTGTGTGTATCTTAAGGCAGCCATTCTACTGCTAGTTGATTATGACATTCATATTAATTTTAGAGCTTTAGTACAATGGATTTTTCCTCAAATTCTCTTTTTAGAAGCTGTAGAAGATTTCCATTGGAGAGGGGAAGGAAATTGTCTTTAAAAGAAAAAACTTAAGGGATATGATTTAGTGAGGTATTGTCCTGTAAGTCGTGGGAATCACTTAAATCAAGAAAACATTTATTGATGTCTAAAGTACATGGCACTCTGCTAGGCATTATGGAAGCAAAGTGAATAGGAAAAAGCAGGTCTCTACCCTTAAGTAAATTTACATTCTTTAGATTTATACAGATCTAAATATTTTTTTTTCTTCTAAATTAGTGAAATGTTTTAAGTTCTTTAATAGTGACCTATGACTGTGAAAGTTTTTCTGGAAACATGGATTAAGGATTAATTCAATTAACTATAATAGGGCTGGGAAAGAGTGATAGAAATTGAGTGGAAGTTGACTGTAGAGAGAGGAGGTAATTAGGTGCTGTTTAAGGTGTTTAATTTTTTAAAGGTCTGTGGTATAATGTATAGGAAAGTGTCCACAACTTAATGGTTTGTTTCATATGTTTGTACGCACCTGTGTAACCACCAGCCTGAGGATCGCAACCCTCGGCGTTGCCCCCGCGCCTCGCCCAGCCAGTGAGCGGGAACCGGTCTGTATGTGGGATCCGAACCCTCGGTGGGAGCGCCTCCGCGCCTCCCAAGCGGCGCACCAGCGCAGTGCGCCACCGGGCCGGCCCTACACACTATTTTTTTTCTTTAATTTTTAAACTCCCCATCTCCTATTCCAGAACACTATTATTAATAGTCTGGTGAATATTACTACAGTTTTTTTTACTGCAGATTCTGAATAATGAAAAATTATATACAACCTAAACTCCAATATTAGGCGAAAAGGATATTATGACACATTAAGAATTTGTTCTGTTTATGCTATAATGTTAAACCAAACAGGCTAAAAAATTATATCTATATTTATAAAATAAGGTTAGCATACAAAAAAAACTTAAAGGAAATATACTAAAATATTACTGATGTTTACATCTAGATTGTGGAGGTACGGATGGCTTGTTTTCCTCTTCTTATTTCTCTATATTGTATGTCTTCCACAGTGGGTACATATCATTTTTATAAATATAAATTTTTTTTTGGTGGCTGGCCAGTATGGGGATCTGAACCCATGGCCCTGGAGTTATAAGGCTGTGCTCTTAACCAATTGACCTAACCGGCCAGCCCTCTATTAATATAAAAAATTTTTATCTGCAACAAAAATGCTTCTCCAAGCATTATTTATAACAAAAAAATAATGCAAAACAATCTAAATGTCTAACAAGAGGGTAACAACAAATGAGCACAAATGAGCACACAGTCGAATAATATGAGGCTAATTTAAATTTAAGGATATGTGTGTATTCAACTTATATATGTATACATAAGAATTTGATATTATATCATAACTATTTCCCATATTAAGAGAAAAACAGGCTATAAAATTAAAATACTAGAATAAATATAGTGTGATGATTATAACTTTTGTCAATCCTACATAGAAAAGGCAACTTTTTGTAGACTTTCACAAAAAGAACACATTATAATTTTAAACTTTCTCCTATTATTAAAAATAAAATACAAAATTTACTATACATTCTGTTATTGGGGTGACAATACCTTATTAGGACCTTTTTTAAGCTCTTTTACTTTTTCTTCTTTTTTTTTTTTTGTCCTTTTTGAGACCTGCCGCACCGTGCTCAGCCAGTGAACGCTGTGAGCGCACCGGTCATCCCTATATAGGATCCGAACCCGCCGTGGGAGCGCTGCTGCACTCCCAGCGCCGCACTCTCCCGAGTGCGCCATGGGCTCGGCCCCTTTTCCCTTTTCTAATGGAGTCTTTTGTCTTATGGTGATAAGGGGGATTATTTCAGGTATATTTAAGAAAAGTATAAATAAAATTTGTATACCATAAAATTCATCATTCTCAAGTGTATAGTTCAGTGGTTTTTAGTATTTCACAAGGTTGCACAGTCATTACCACCATCTAATTATAGAATGTATATGTGCTTTTGAGAAAGAAAAGCGGAATTAAAAAATAAAGTGGAGGCTGGCCCGGTGGCGCACTGCTATAGTGCGCCGCTTGGGAAGTGCGGTGAGTGCGCCGCTTGGGAAGTGCGGTGGCGCTCCCGCCGAGGGTTCAGATCCCACATACAGACCGGCCGCTCACTGGCTGAGCGAGGGGCAGGAGCAACACCGAGGGTTGCGATCCCGTGGCCGGTCCCGGTCCCGGTCTGGTACGGGCGCAACACTGAGGGTTGCGATCCGTTGCCGGTCACGACAAAAGACAAAAAAAAAAAGTGGACTGTTTAGGAATAGCATGTAGTTTCATACATGTGTGATACTTTATGGTGACAATTTGAAAATATATTAAAAAAACAAATATTTCTGAATAATGAGCTTGGACTATCTAGAAATTAGATGTAAAAGTAGTTGGTTGCAAAAAGTTTGTCATGTTGACTGTTCTAGTATTTGTTGTATGATGAGCAAGGTAAAGTGGGGGTCAGAAGTAATCATGACAGCAAAGGCTTGAATGATGCTACTCAGTGCCTTGCACATTGCATATGCATTTTATTGATTTGCATATTTTACCTAAATTAATCCTTATAACAATTCTTTGCATTAATTATTGTTGTTGCCCTCATTCGCTACTCAGTGCCTTGCACATTGCATATGCATTTTATTGATTTGCATATTTTACCTAAATTATTCCTTATAACAATTCTTTGCATTAATTATTGTTGTTGCCCTCATTTTATAGATGAGGAAACTAAGGCAAGAAGAGGTTAAATGTTCTCTATGGTCATGGGCAGTGGCAGAGTCAGAATTTCAGAGGTGGTGTGAATCCAGCGTCTATGCTTAACCGCATTACTATGATATAGTCATTTGTCAAAACTAAGAAATCAATATTTCTACCTGGAATTTTTGTTTTCTTTTAGGTCATATGCTAATTTGCCATGAAACTGGTGCTTTTTGCTCTATCATCCAGTAGCTCTTTGTAGATCTTCATAGCACTTCTGGGAATATCATTATGAATAAGTCAGTCTTAGTATTGGTTTCATTTTAACAAATGTGGTTGGAAAAAAACAGCAATTCTGGTTCAAATTTTAAAGCAGCTACTTGACCACAATGGTAG